CCTTAGTCAGACCAAATAAGCAGCAGTGAAATTGTTGGTGTTCTGCATGTGGTGTTTGATTAAAGTTGAAACCAAGTCTGGTTTGATTTGCTTTTAAATATAAGGATCTTGGTTTTCCTTCCTCAGAATCTAAAGGGATGAATTTCAGATTCTTGTAGTAGTGACTATGCAGTTCTTCCAATAAATGTGTTTCATAGCAGTCCATTTAGTTCATCTTATTTGCTATGAAGTAGCTTTCCTTAGCCATATTTGTTTTCAATTCTGATGTTTACAGGTGAGGCTCTAGGAAGAAATGAACGCTCTTAATTTTTAGGGAAGCAGTTTGTTTTCAAGCTCATATCAATATATAAACTTAGTAAACTTCTTAAACAGTCAGAAGAGAATCTAGCAAAGAGTCTGCAGCACTTCTTTTGAAAGAAGTGAACAACATATGTGTACCACTCTCCATGCTGAACTGCAGGTTTGAATCAACATTTATGTTCAAAGTACAGCTAGTACAAATGAAAGTAGCTTATCCAAATATGGATGCTCTTGTCATTCACTGGATACAGTGGAATGAATAGCAAAGCAAGACAGTTTTAGTGTATTTAACAGTGTTTCAGCAGTGTAAGTTGTGCTGTGATGTCCCCTGGGTCTTTAGCCCCTCATCCCTTCTCTTGCCATTGTAGTACAGGTTTGATCACAGGAGATCTCATTTGGAATCCAGGAAGTTCCTGATGGGCAGTAATCCTGTAATTGTTTTCCTCTTCCCTTAAAATCATGTAAGGAAATGGATTTCCACCTTTCCACTATAACTTTCCCAGGGCAGTGGTGGAATCACCATCCCTGGAAGTGTTCACACACCATGTAGATGAGGCCCTCAGTGACACGGGTTAGTGGTGGCCTTGGCAGTGCTGGGGAACGGTTGGGCTTCATGAGCTTAAAGGTCTTTTCCAACCTGGTTGATTCCATCCTTCTGTGATTTGCTGCAATTGCCATCAGTCTGCTTTCTCCAGCAGAGGAGCCTGTAACATGCTGCCCTCTCCTCAGTAACTGTAAGCCACTGAGAGAGGGCACTGTTGAAAGTTTCTCAATCAGTAACACCACTGACATGACAGACATTAGCCAGGAATGTGTAGCAAAAAAAAACTAAAATAGGAAGGCATTTAAACACGAAACTCAGGCCGCTTTGTACATGACTTTTGCAGCACTACAGGATTCTTTGCATCAATCACAGTGTCAGTGGCAGACAGTGAAATGGTAGATTACCACATGCTTGACTGGAGGGGAAAAAAAAGAAATCAAAGAGAAAGGCTAACCATAGTAAAGGACAGGTCCTGAAAATATTTACAGACTGCAGAATCAACACAACAGCTATGCTGACAGTTGCTAATGGCTGTCACAGCTTCCCAACCACCACCACTGAAATCAATTCAGAATGAGTATTCGGAAAATTACTTACTTCAACACTGAAAATATTTTTTTCAGCTTAGAATACATAAATTTGAATTGATCTTCTGACACTCTCATATTAGGCTGATAATTCCTCAGGGGTTTGCCTCCCAGAAGAGCAAACTGCAGACTGGTGGGTTTGTTCCCTTTTCTGTACTCTGGCAGGAATCCCAGACTGGTTTGGGTTGAAGGGACCTTAAAGCTCCTCCAGCTCCAACCCTTGCCACAGGCAGGGACACCTTCCACTAGAGCAGCTTGCTCCAAGCCCCTGTGTCCAACCTGGCCTTGTACACTGCCAGGGATGGGGCAGCCACAGCTTCTCTGGACACCCTGTGCCAGCGCCTCAGCACCCTCACAGGGAAGAGCTTCTTCCTTATATCTAACCTGAACTTCCCCTGTTTCAGTTTGAACCCGTCACCCCTTGTCCTGTCACTACAGTCCCTGATCCTTGTAGTCTCCTTCAGACACTGGAAGCTGCTCTCATATCCCCATGCAGCTTCTCTTCTCCAGGCTGAACAGCCCCAAGTTTCCCAGCCTGTTGTACATGGAATCATTGTAAACAGCAGTCTGCTGTAGCCTAATGATGTAAAAGGCCAAATCACTTCAACTGAGATGGTATCTTTAGCTGGATTTTATCTCGGGGGGGGGAAAAAAAACGAACAAAGCTTGGCACTGACTTAGTTTTCTAATTAAATCTTGATGTCGCCCTTCGTTTTTAAGATAACCAGTTGTTGCCCAAGGAAGCAGAGAGCAGTCAGGATAATCAGTCACAAATGCACACACTAATTCACCTCCTGGAGGCATTGCATTCTGAGGCCAAGTTGCTGGTATGATATGGCAGGCACTGGCTCTCACTGTGTTTGTGTAGAGGAATTTTCCATGTCAGTTCACCTGTCTCTATAGAATGCTAAGAGATGCTTTTTATTGAGATAATCAGAAGGTCTTTATGAAAGGTGTCTTGTCAATTGCTTCATGGTGGTTTGGAAAGCTCCAGAGGATCAGCAGTTGCTTTTCCCAGGGTTTGTTCTGATTTGGTTAACCTAGGCTGTCATGCTGTAGAGCAGCAGCATTTAAGAGATTCAGTCAGTCCTGTACTTCATTTCTGGCTGTTCAGGGTATCCTCATGGTATGATACTAACCTCTTCAGCTTTCATGAAACTCCACACCTGGGCTTTATCAAGAGTATTTCTGTTGTTGGAGGCAGCAGGAAAATATAATGCCAGTTACTACAAGAATGGCTTAGGCTACTGTTGTTTTAAATCCAAGTCTTTAAACATGGTTGCAAACATCTGTAAGTGGATAACGTTTGAGTGCTGCAGGGGGAATCCCACAGGCTGGGTTTGTGTAGCTGTGGTCAGAGATGGAGCTTTATCTTGCCATCTAAACATGCAGTTAATACAAAACTTTAAACATGGCAATAATTCTCTTTCTAAGAATGAGCTTTTCCAGGTTTTTCTTGCCCTCTAATCATAAACCTCCATGTTATCATTGCATTATTTTCTTGAAATACTTCAGCACTTTTCAGCACATCATTGGTCACATCTACATGTCATGCCAGCATAACAACAGATGTGCAGGGAGAGAAATGATGTATACCCATCAAATTGAAGTTACCAGCTTGGATTTGTACCTCTTAAGTCTGGAATTCCAGACTCTGCAGTTAACAGTGGGATCAAGGTCAAGTGAGAATGTCTTGAACTGTCCTTTTCACTAGATCAGTGTCACAAAGGATGAAGCAATAATGTCAGTCTCAATAAATCTGGTAGTCCTGGATGAGCAAGCAGCTTCATTTTCCCTAGCTGCATTGTGTCACGTATGGTAAGGAGCACTTCTAAAGCAGATTTGTTACTTCTCTCAATTGCTTTAAGGCCACCATAGAGCACAGACAGGATTCTCCTCAAATCTGTTTTCCTTTGCTTCGGAATACTGTGTGTTCCACTGATCTCCCTCCATCTTTCCTGTGATGACTGGCAGGTGGCTGTTGCTGCTATGTTTGTGTGCTGTTGTGCTCTGCTGCGTCAGAGCATCTGATGCATACATGATTGCACTGTGAGTATTTCTTAGCCTCCGTTGCCTCCCCTTACTCCAGAACAAGTTGTCGTTATTTGGAGGACACAGGACAGCCAGGAGCCTGCCTTCTCCTTGACCTTTCAGATAGCTGACTGTTCACGCAAGTATTGCAAATATGGTCTTCTGGAGAGAGCAAAGCATTCTTGCTAGAATATTGCTGCCCCACACCAGAACCACCTATTAGAGAGTGCAGCAAAGGGGCATGCTAGTGATTCTTGAGAATAGGCTCTGTCTTGGTGCCTTCCACTTCACGCAGACTGGCACCATCATACCAGAGAGCAGATCTTGCCTAGGTTTGGTTATTTCCACCGACACTAAACACATTTTCTGTACAGATTTTCTGCCTTTGCTGTTTACATGGAGGAAGCAAATGACAGCTCTGCTTTTTTCATTAAAGAAAGAACTGCCTAAGGGAAGGCAAGGGTGAAAGTGTGTCCTCTAGGACTTAGAAGAAACCAGGAAGAAAAACCTTCATGGTATTTGTTTTGAACCAGTTTCTGTAGTGGATAACAGCTGCTCTTCCAAAGGAAACATGGAGAGAAGGTACAGCTTTTTCTCAGTATTCACTGACTGAAACACCCATCACAGGCTTCAGGCTTCACTGGGTACTTCTAGACCAATGTTCTCCAAAGCACAGAAGTAATGAACACAGTGTTACTTGGGGCTCCTTCTAAATAGTCATTTTTGGTGGTTTTTGTTTTATTTTTCTTCTATCATGCATGAAAATACTCTCACCATGTCAAGTCCCTGTTGCCAAAATACTAGCTGGAGGGAATTTAAAATGTTAATTATAAGCCACATGAACTATTTTTATACATTTATACTGACATTTGCAACCCCATCACTCTTAACAGAGCTCAGAAGTGGTAAGTTGTAAAATAGCATTTAAATGCAAAACTACATGATCATAGATCATAGAATCATAGAATGGTTTGGGCTGGAAAGGACCTTAAGATCATCCAGTTCCAACCCCTGCCACGGGAAGGGATGCCTACACTAGACCATGATACTCTTGTGCAGACAACTATCCCCAAATCCTTCAGAACTGATTATTTTTGCAGTGAAAATGATTTGGGAATATTAAAAAATGTGCTACAGGTCTTACTTAGAACATGTCTTGCAACATGAAGAACTTGTATTTCCAGCAGGAGTTCACTAAGATGACTAATTATAGAAAATTAATATCTTAATGGATAATTAGTAAAACTGGAAAGGTCTTCTTCAGGCGCTTGGTAGTTGGACAAAGCTATTTCCATTTAAAATAAACCTACCAGATTTTCACAGTAAACTGTCAGGTTTTGTGAAGAAAAGTTTGTTTGTTGTGGAAGAGAGGAATGTGTGTAAAAACTGTGGGAAACGCTCTATTTTAGTAGGATGGCAAGCGAAGGTTGTTCAGTGGGAACAACCCCTGTGAACATTTCAGAATCATAGGGCTGAACAAGACTAAAGTGACCATCTTTTTGAGGGCTTCTGCCACTAAATAAATAGCAAAACATAGAAAGTTTCCAAAAGAGTTTAATAAATAATGAGGTTCCTTTTTTTTGTACTGTATAAACTATAAATATACCATGCAGTCCTTTATAACTTAAAATAATTTACAGGCTGAGGTAGGGGGGTAGGAGGATGTTCTCAGGGGGTTTAGATGTACCTCAGGGCCTCCCTGACTTCCTGCTGAGCACACACACGCAGGCGGTGTCAATGCGGATGAACCTCCAGGCCGCCTGTTTGCCCTCCATGGTCAGCGCTTTGACAAAGGTGTGTGTGGTGGTGCAGTAAGAGTTCCAGTGCTTTGCATCGATCCCTCGGCACCCACTGGACACTGGCTTAGGGTCCCTGCACTTGGTCTCAAAAAAGTACTGCTTAAAAACGTTGTTGTTAATATTGACTTCTCCCAACACCGTCACCTCTTTGCCTTTAATGTCAGTGGCTGTGGTCTTGTCCCCAACCCACATGCTGACGCTGTCACATACTGAGAACTCTCCCCGGTGTAACACGGGATGTGCAGTCCTCTTGGTCCTGGCAGTCCTGTTGAGAGCACCTGCACTGCTGAGAAATCCCATGTTGTTTCCTTGCCCTGACACTGGGGGGGGCTGTGTGCTGAACAGCACCCGAGGGGACCGGAATCGCCTCTTCTTAAAAACCTTGGGGTCCATGGTGATATTTATAGCTTCTGTTCTACTTATCGTCCAAGTAGAGTGGCCCTGGGATGTCTGTGGAGCTGCCTTGGGAATGTGGTGTCTGTTACTCCGGTGGGTATTGAGTGGGGAGTGTTCTGCAGGATACTCCAGTGGAACATTGTCCTCTGACTTTGGAGCTGCCTGTGTGCCGATCAAAAAAGCTATGATCAGAGTGTAGTACAGCATGGACATTACGCTATGCACCTAGAACGGAAGAAAAATGTAATGTTACTGGAAGCCATGCTAACAATCAATTTATAAGATACCCAGGATCATACAAATTTCATCAGGTATTCATGTGGGTGCCAGATGTTATTTGTCCAGAAGAGCCCATTCAGACAGCATAAATGTTCTTAATAAAGCGAGAGCATTAGAAAATAAGAGCTAGATTATTATTAATTCCTCTGGTACTTGTTATTAGGACACTGTTTATGAAGCACTTGTTTGGTGTTATTAATGTGGAGACCATATGGCGACAGCGTGTTCCCAAGAGTAAAAATCTCTAGTGATTTTTGCAGCAACCTTCTTGGCCAGGGCTGGCCTCTTGGCTGTAAATAGCCTGCAGAGCAGTGAGAGTGGGAGCAGGCCCGTGGCTGAATAGTCGTCCATTCACTTCATTTGCCTGCAGAGGTGTCCTTGGGGTGAGGGTGGGGACCACCAAGCCAGTGCTTGTGGGAGGAGGGGGGAGCCCTGGCGAATCCTGCCCTTATCATGTGCTATGGACAGGCCCCACCCCTCTGGCAGGCTCAGCAGCTTCCAGCAGCCTCCATCTATCCAATCTGCCCTTTTGGGATGCAGCACATCACCACATTATGATTTTCAATAGATAAGGCTCAGGCTCCTTCTCCCAAGAGCTCAAGCATTGTATGTCGCAAGGGCAGATGGGTTTTTTGCCATGTTCAAGCAGCCTACTAGGACAAATATGGGTATTACATAGGAACACTGTTTGTGACAGGCTACTTCTGGGTTGGAACAGTGTAGCTAAAACCATTGCGGCCATAGTACTGCAAATTACATATAGGGAAACACTTTCCTTTTGTCAGAGTGCCATGTGCAAGAAGCTCCGCAGTGTCACTGCAAAGCAGATCCAGTGCTAGTCTTCCTTCAAACTGGAGAATATGCACCTCTGTTGGGGTTGGAAATGTGTAAGACAATGTCTAAAGCATCACTGAGAACGATTTAATGCAGCAGTAATACCTTGTTAGGTAACTACCGTGTTTTGCTTAATTCAGCCTCTTGTTAACAAATCAGCAGCAGGCATCTTGGGAATAAAAGGCATTCAGAAAGGACCTGAAATTGCACTTAAGGGCAGACATAGTATTTCCTCTGCAAAGACTTCATAAGCAGAGACAGGATAAACAGACAAAAACTCCCCAGCGAGGCTCCTCCCCTGTCTCTTTGCCTTGTTTTGCCTGACATGTCTCAGCTGGCCCCGAATTACACTGTGTCCGGCCAGGAGGCAGGCAGGCAGCTGTGCAGGGACTGGACAAACAGGGTTTTGTAAAGCAGGAATCAGGCTCTGCAGTTCCACTGTGATTTCCCAGCATGTCTTAATGTTTTTTCTGGGTATGGGTCAATTACCGTTGAAGTTCCCCCTTTCTGTTCAGCTTTCTCAGCCTGGAATACCAAGGAGCACTAAAGTGCTCAACCGGGGCTTTAGCTTTGCTAGAGCACAATCTAGGAAATGCAGAACCCCTCAGATTCACATAGGATCTTGTGTGGGTAGTCTTAGATGAGCTGGAATAAAATAAACAGCTGTGTTTGTGCAGGACTGGGCCAGCATTTAGGAAATCAGGAGACACCAGTTGAAGGTAGTGACTGAAGAGGGTGAAGATGCTACAGCATCAACTGAAGAGAAAGGCCAAAAGCAGCATTAGCTGTTGTCTGTGCAACAGTCGGTGTGGAAGAACTGGGGGCAAAACGATGACAAGGAGAGTCAAATCTCTCCTACAGAGAAAATCTTTACTGTTCCAAAGCTACTTTAATTTGCTTAAAACAAGGCTGAGGGTTGCTGCTTTCCCACATGCTGCTCATGCTTTAGCAGTCGTCATCATCCGTATAAGGAAATAGAGCTGGGTGTAGCTCAATAGCTTGGCTGTGCATGATGCAAAGAGTAACCCCTTGTTCTGCAACCAAATTAAAATCAGATGGTTCATTAGAGCTCTATAGACTTTGCTTTCCCCACAGAAATGTTAATGGAAGAGGTTTGCAGAACAAAATCCAGGCACAATTTAGGACTGCCAATAGCAGCCTCAACCTATTGTGTTTAGACATCAGCCCTTTTTTTTCTGACTTCCTTCTATAGGAAAGAGATGTTGCAATGTCAGCAAAGAGCTGTTTCTGGTTTTGTGCTACACAAGATTCACTGGTCTCAAATGCAGATAGTCATAAAATCAAATTGGATTCAAAACTGGATTCTAAAATGCAGCTATCACCATTCTCTGAGTTTCTGATGTTGTATATGTTAAGATTATTGCTTTAAAGCCATTAACACAAAATCGGAAGGATCTCGCCTGCTTTTTTGGGGGAGTTTTTGTTTTTTTTTAAAAGTTTTGCCAATTCTGGGGCTGGTAGTCCGTGGGTATCTGTTTGTAAAATTGGTCACAAAGGTTATCACAGGCACTTCCGTGCCACTACAGCTACTAAAACGGAGGATGTTTAATGAGAAATGTGACTTTGAAGTGTCCCCATTGTAAGTAACCATTCCTCACAAAAGAGTTGATGTCTAGAGACAGAACAAAAGAAGACAGAAGAAACTCCCATTCTAGCCAGACAACAGCTAGCTAGTGGCTATCTTTGAAGCAACATGCTTTACAAAGTCCAAGAACTAAACTTTTTAAACAATAAGAGCATTAAATGCAAACTTCTCTCATCTTCATACTTTAGAAGACAGACCACTGATTTTTGAAGTTCAAGGTAACGTCTTTTTTTCCCCACCTGTATGTTCATAGAATCATGGAATGGTTTGGGTTGGAAGGGACCTTACCAAGCCCCTGCCATGGGCAGGGACGCCTCACACTAGACCATTGCTGAAGGCTCTGTCCAGCCTGGCCTTGAACACTACCAGGGATGGAGTGTGTTGGTCAGGTGTCATTTAAACACTTTTCCTGGTATTATCTGTTAAGGCTGCGGTCTGATGATGGTACTAGGACATTTCCCCCTCTGTGTGTGTTGTGCTTACCTCAGAGTGTACTGCACAGAAAGCTGCTCCCCCAGCAAGATGTTTATTTCATCCAGATGCCGAATTGGGGTTGGCTGCCGCATGCCATCGGGCCAGTCTGACTGCGTAGCTCAGTCTGGGAGTTGCTTATTCTGCAATTCCACTAGAAGCAGAAGTATTTGTTTCAATAATTAGACACCAAAGAAGTGTTTTCAGTAACATTCCCCACTTGACAGCAGGAGTAGAGGGACAGATCCACTTGTTTGACTGTCTGGACTATGCCTTTTGCACTTAAGTGTTGAGGTCTAAAATATGGTTCTCAGCTTTCAAGAGCTGCACCTGCTGATGTTACCGTCTGAGCTCTGTTTGCACAGTAGCAGTAGACATAGGAGGGCTCAGACCCCCCAGCATCTTTGTCTGGGAAGCAAGTCTGGTTACAAGCCATAAGTTGTGTGCCAGTAAATGCACCCAGTGTAAAACTCAGTGGCTCCTCTGCTTGCTTGTCCAGATTGGTCTAACCAGCAGCACCACCAGCCCTGTGCCCTTCTTCTGTCACTGTACCTTAAAATAGTGTACAGCTGTTGTCAGTACTCAAAACTCAAAACCAGAGATGTTTTGCAGAAGAACTTATCTATGCCCTGTCCACAAATCTCCTGTGCACACATCTCACTATGCAGTTTGCGGCCCATGCTTTCTCTTTCTTTAGATGCCCCTAATGTTGGAAGGCCTTTAGAGGCCCAGAGGGAGGGTTACCAGCTCTGCATAGAGGTACCTATGCATAGTATCCTGCAGTCTGCAGTGAAAAGGAACTTCTGTTTCTCATTTGAGTTTTGTCAACCAATATGGTAATGTCATCAGTGGTTGTAATACTCCACATGAGATACCAGCTACCTACAGGGTAGTTCCAGCCTCCCCTGCCCCCCATCACTGCTTAAGCTGTATGAAGAAACACAGTTGTGAGTTGGCTGACCTGTTTTGCAGTAATGTCACTTTTATTTAGTGAAAGTGAGTGAAGGAGAAAAGCAAGTGTGCAGCTCAGCAGGCAGGAGTGATAGCATCTCCCAGGTTGTCCAGGGATAGTAACTGGACTCTGCTGATTGTTTGAAACATTAGTTCCTCTTGAGCAATGTCAGAAGACTGCTGAGCATCTGTTCCAGAGGGGAGATGATGCCTGAGATCTTTCATTCATACATGGGAAAAGCAAAGGTAAATTCTAAGCTCCTACGGTGCCAGAGAAGGCGACTGTGTGCTAGAAGCCTGCTTTTCCCTTATCCACCAACACTGTAACTCCATCACAGAAGGCCACCAAATTTGTTGGCACAATTTTCTCTTAGTGAAACCATGTTGGTTGTCACCAATCGCCTCCTTATATTCCACGTGCTTTAGCATATTTTCCAGGAGGATCTGTTCCATGATCTTGCTGGGCACCGAAGTGATGCTGACTGTCCTCTAGTTCCCTGTGTCTTCCTTGTTTCCCTATTAAAACTGGGAGTTATGTTTCCCCTTTTCCTGTCGGTGGGACCTTTACCAGCCTGCCATGACTTCTCCAGTATGATGGATTGCGGGTTGGAAACTGTATTTGCCAGCTCCCTCAGGACCTGTGGATGCATCTCATCCCATGGACTTATGCACCTTCATAGTGCTTAGATAGTATCAAACCTGGCCCCGAATCAAAGGAAAACCATTATTGTCATGCTGATGCCTTCTCAGCAGAGTACATTTTCGATTGTAAATTCATGAGTGCTGTTGAAAGTGATAGAAATAATATTTCATTAACCATAAGTATTTAGATAGTTCATCTGTTCCCTTTAATACGGTAAATAAGGGTTGGTAAAGTAATTCTGCACTGTACAAGATCCTGCTGTATTCTGTGTGGAGATTCAAGTGCGTTTGCCAAGTACGCACAGCTCACACCAAAGCATGAAATGGGCTTGGTTTATACCTGCGCAGTGTCTGTCCACAGGAAAGCTGCCTGCCAGGAACCACATCCAAGCTACTTTGTTTCTTAAAATCTAACAGAAATCTCCCAAGGCCATTTCCAGGCAGTGCAGGGCACAGGAGTCAGCAGCTCATTGTATCCCACTGTGCAACACTTCTGTCAGGGTATGTATAAGGAAGAAGTTCTTCCCGGTGAGGGTGCTGAGGCGCTGGCACAGGGTGCCCAGAGAAGCTGTGGCTGCCTCATCCCTGGCAGTGTTCAAGGCCAGGTTGGACACAGGAGCTTGGAGCATCCTGCTCTAGTGGAAGGTGTCCCTGCCCGTGGCAGGGGTTGGAGCTGGATGAGCTCTAGGGTCCCTTCCAACACAAACCAGTCTGGGATCCTATATGTGGCCACTGTTTGGATTTGCTGCTCTCTGGAGATCGTGGCTCATGTTCTGCTCATGTACCTGTGTGCTTGAAGTATTCAAGCATTAAGCTTGAATGAAATATTCAAGTATTAAGCTAATTTCAGTGATAGGAATATGTAAGAGAAGTCAAAGTTCTAAAATCCAAAGCTTCATGCTACCAGCCTCAGAATGTGGTATTCCTACAAGAATGTACTAGTAGAGTAATAACCCTTTCAGTGGACTCCTGACAGTTCAGTAACAGTAATGAGAGAGCTATAATATGCTGGCCACTGCCAAAAATAATCCAACAACTTTTCCGACTGTTCTGCCACCCTGAGAAAACACTGCTTCAGTTCCAACTGGCTGCTTTTTAACCACAAAAGAGTTTATTTTCAGCAGGACTCTCTCTTTTTTTTTTTTCCTTTATTTTTTTTTAATGTTCTTTCACCGAATTCCCGGATTCCTGGTTGTGGTGGAATCCAGTAAATGATGCAGTGTTATTCAAATGATGCTGAAGGCAGCATCTATACTATTCATTTCCTACCTACCATTCCCAGAGATTAAGACAATATCCTACTGAAGTATTTCTTCATCATTTACATGCACTCATGGTTATAGATCTGGAGGGGATAAAAAAAAACCACTTCATTCTTAATTCTTAGTCTCAACACATATAGTAGGAGTCGGGACATACCATAAACATGTAAAATGCTGTTTGCACTTGAAATTCTTTATAAGGGTTCACAGTAAACCACAGTATTTACCAGCTGATCAAACAAGTATAGAGGGGGAATCTCTATTTCTTTAAACAATTCTCCTGCAGAATCTGAGGAAGAACAGATGAAAAGGGTTACATTGCCTGAAAACTTATTTAGAACTGATAATTTACTGGATTTACTAAATTAATTGCTTCCAATAACAATAGCAGTGCTTAAAATCACTGCCAAATCTCTGTTCCATGTAACCCCCAGACCTGTACCTCCTGATTCCAGATCAATTGCAATTCAGTCTACTGGACTGTTAGTAACTGGGCTGTAAAGCATATAAAGATGTATGTGAGAGTTTGGGAATTCCAAGAGCAGGTTGACACTTCTTTGTGAAAACTGCCACTGAATTTTGGCATCTCTGTTTTTCCTAGAATACAGAAATACAGCTCTTTTAAACCTGGAAGCATTGATAAAGTAGCATTACAGTAGGAAGAAAAAAGGGTGTACAGTGTTGAAGTAGTTCTATTTCATGAACTGGAAATACAGCATGGAAGGTGGGACTCCAGGACATCGCCCCCTCTTTTTCCCCTGGACACTGAACAGTTCAGCTTTTCACGTCAAGAACATTCATGGTTTAGTTTAACTCAAAACAGAGGTTTGATTTACAGCAGCAACTCCAGCAGACCAATAGTGCTGTTGTTTGACCAGCATAAACTCTTCCCTCAGGTGATCAGCTCTGTCAGAAAAAAGCACATCTCTCACAATCCTAATGTTTAAATAGCTTTTCTGGGGGTTCTATCTTAAACAGAAGTGACTGGACTTAACCCAGGAGGGTCCCCTCTAGTTACGTGTTCTTCTAAAAGCAGCTGTTTTCACAGAATAATATTATACATACTTGATGGTAACTGGAAAAAGCACCAGATTTGCTCCATTTCAGAGGTATTTTTACAGTTGTGTTTGAAGTGGATTGATTTTGCTTTTTCATTGACTCCACACGAAAGGCTGGGGGAGACAGATGAAAAGCTGCTACTTGAAATTTACTTGAAAAACATATAATTACATGTCAGAAAGTTCGTGGTCTTATTTGACCATGATGTCATGAATGATGCACAGCTTTTCAGTAAGGAAATTGGCTCGGGGGCTTATAAGAACTTCCCAGTATCTGTCAGTCCCAGGTCATTGGGATCACTCTGAGAAAAGACATCCTTCATCTTAAAACAGTTTTCTTTTTTTACCTATAGAACAAAGAAAACCAGCTGCTTTCTTATCTGCTGCCAATGCAGTTAAGATATATTTAAGTCTCAAAGGAACATGAATTCTGGTAATTCAGCAGAAATTGCAGTCTCATTATACTGCCTTGTTTAAACTAGGAACAGTATGAAGAAACCAGTCACCCAGGCCTTCTGCAGGATCAACAATGATGCTGTTCTTCTATGCAGTGCAGTACCTCAGGAGTAGTTGTTGTGAGGCAAAGCAGAATGGTTTTGTCATGACCAAAACAATAGAATTTTTAGCCACAAGTGTATGTAAAGCTGTCCTGCTGACAGTCAGCCAACATTTTGATAGCTATAACCTCTAAGGTTTAGCTTACAAATATTGCATTGATACATCGAAAGACTCCTACTATCAAATCACAGTCTTCTCCTTTAGGGCAAATCATAGAACCATAGAATGGTTTGGGCTTGGGAAGGGACCTTAAAGCTCATCCAGCTCCAACCTCTGCCCTGGGCATGGACACCTTCCACTAGAGCAGCTTGCTCCAAGCTCCTGTGTCCAACCTGCCTTGAGCACTGCCAGGGATGGGGCAGCCACAGCTTCTCTGGGCACCCTGTGCCAGCGCCTCAGGACCCTCACCGGGAAGAGCTTCTGTCTAAGAGCTCATCTCAGTGTCCCCTCTGTCAGGTTAAAGCCATTCCCCTTGGCCTGTCCCTACAGGCCCTTATTCAAAGCTCCTCTCCCGCCTTCTTGTAGGCCCCTTTAAGTATTGGGAGGCTGCTCTAAGATCTTCCCAGAGCATTTTTATCCTTTCCTAGTGTTGGTATATTGATTGAGTCCTCCAAATGTTGTAAACTGAAAAAAGGGACTCAGTCACTGCCCTGGGTTCAGCAGTAGCAGTCATTTTTCTCCTT